TATATATATATATATATATATATATATATATATATATATATAAACAGCGCCTTTTATATTGGTAAGTTATTTTGAAGGAATGGCCGATGTCCAATATTTAACTTTATCACTAATATCGGCCGATACATGCCAATAATATCGTACATCCGTAGTTTTACCTTATCTCATCTTCTCTTATAAAATATGGCTTCCAGTATGTCGATGCTCTGCAGAGAAGGAATATTGTCAAGTTGTTTTTGTTTTTCTTTCTGTTGAGCCCCTCTCCAAGAGTCACCACAATGAGTGAACTTGCACAAGTTTTGGCAATTTTTCTATGCCAGATGCCCTAAATGATGCAACCTGGACTCGAACCTGCAGCCTCAGGATCACAAAAGCCGGCACCGACCCCGAGTTACTACAGTCCCCAGAAGGATTGTGATCAAGAAAGCTTTTAAAAATTAAAGCGTTGCGACTTTAAAGTAGAAAATTTACAACTAAACCTCACAAAAGTCTAATGAGCAGAAACCGGAGTCGGTGTTGGTGAGTAAACTGTAAGAGATGAGCTGAAGGAGAAGACTTTCTTCAAAGAAAGGCAACATAAGTCATGAAGAGCTCAACAACAAGGTAAAGGGAAGAAAGTTTCAACGAGACAGCGACTGGACATAATATGTTTCTCTTGTGTTGTGGAGCTACGGTTTGTCCAGCCCTCCCCACAAGTGCCCAAAAGAAGAGAACTTCTGCAGAAAACAGTTTGCCATCACCTGTTTTTTTTTATTTTTATTAATAATACAAATAACTCAAGGAACAACATGAGCTCCTGATGTGCCATTAATGACATTAATTGTAGTAACGTTGATGTACTTCTGGTATAAACTGCATCCTTCAATAAAACAAGCTAATTCATGCAAGTTTCAGACTGTGGCTCATTATTAGCCTTCACTTCATTTTAAATGACTGATTGGTATTGAGGCATATAGATTAATGTAGGTTACATATCTGAGCTTCTCATGCAGTTTAAAAAGCTCTTCCACAATCTTCACCCTCACATTGGTGCTAAAAGAGAAGACATTTTCCTAATGTGCCTCAAAAAGAAGTTGTTGCAGCACGGAGTGAGATCAGTGTGTCTGACTGGATCTGGACAGGTTTGGTGGAGGACGTCACAGCACCAAACACCATCAGCAGGAGGAGGAGGAGGAGGAGGAGGAGGAGCAAGGAGGTGAACTCCGAGTGGAAGGAGAGGAGAAGGAGATGGAGGAGGAAGCTGAAACAAAAAAACGTAAGTTTTAATCTTTTTTTGTTTCTTTATCCTTTTTAATCACCCACTCCAGCTCATGAGCTAACAGCTGTTCTGTTTGCTGTGTTTAGGCGTGAATCCGTTCGCTAAAGAAGCAGGTTCACCTGTGACACCATCGCTGACACCAAGTGAGTCAAAGCTCTATTTATTTCCAGCACTGGTTGTCATTTTAAGAATTTAAATGTTTTATTTGTAGGGATGCTGTCGTGGAAAAAAGGGATTCCCAAAACAACCAAGTGTAGACGTGATCAGATTCATTACAAAGCTTTGCAGCCAGCAATCACAGACGATCAATACAAGTATAGCTTATCAATGCCTTCACCTGTCTGAGGCTCTGACCCGACTTCTTGAACCAAAAAAACAAAAAAAAAACAATCAGTTTTGTCGAACTTAAAGCAGCCAGACTCCTCCCCACCCTGTACGGCTGTTATGAGAACCCAGCTGCAGCTGACCGGTCACACCAAGACTAATTATTACATAGAATGTTTAAATATTATTCACAATCACAGCAGGGAAAATTATAGAGCATGGTTAATGCATATAATACACACTCCCTTGACAGCTGCACAAATCTTTTGTCAGGTGCTTTGAAATGACAGATGTTCAGCCGATGTTGGCAGCTAATTTCTGAATTGTAGCTGAAGAGGATCAGTGAAGTTTTTTGAAAAGGGGCGATGTTTTTACTAAAAAATTAATTTGTTTACAGCGTTTCCCCGAGGTCACTTGCCTTGACAGGGTGCTCATCTCTACAAGGAGTTTTGCTGACAGGAAGTGGTGAGGGGTGGGGGTCTGAGTTGCGCGCTACTTTTGTGCGGGCAGTTCTAGGGGCCCCGATTTCTGTAATTTTGGGAAATCGTCCGAGGGCAGCACGGTGGAGCAACTGGTAGAGCTGCTGCGTCTCAGCGAGCAGGTCCTTGGTTCAAATCCCGGTCAAGGGGCCTTTCTGGGTGGAGTTTGCATGTTCTCTCCGTGCATGCGTGGGTTTTCTCCGGGTACTCCGGTTTCCTCCCACAGTCCAAAAACATGCATGTTAGGCTGATTGGTAACTCTAAATTGTCCCCAGGTGTGAGAGAGTGAATGGTTCTTTGTCTCATTTGTCTCTATGTGTCCCTGTGATGGACTGGAGACCTGTCCAGGGTGTACCCCGCCCCTCGCACAGTGATTGCTGGACATGGGCACCAGCGACCCCCGTGACCCAAAATTGAAGAAGCGGGTAAAGATAATGGATGGATGGATGGAAATCGGCCAATACTTGCATGAGAAACCAATTTAACCTATTTTTTTTTTGTTTTAACAACAATTGTCTGAACTTCATTTATATTTCAGAGCACTACCTCATGGCCAGTGTGGTTGGGGGGGGGGGTTGTAAGAGGGTGCGTGAGAGAAGGCGAGCGCTACGTCAGTAGCTTTTTAGTTTGCGTGTCTGTATTGTGGGACACTAGCTTAGCACTATGTCAGTGCTAGCAGCTGTTGACGAGGGTGGGGGGGTTGTGGGTGAAGGTAGGCAGGGTGCTCAGGTTTGTTGACAGGGTGAGGTGGACTTCTTGAATAATGGTAGGGACACACTGGTTTAACTACCGGGTATAATGTTTTTTGTCTCAAGTGATGTCAAGTTTTAGCAGAAATCCAAAAAGAAACTCCATGTCAACTACAAAACAGGCTTGTTGACTCCAAAAAGAGTTGAAATAAAACAAAACAAACAGTCTATATTCTGTAGGTGAAAACGTTTTGCTTCCCATCCGGGAGCTTTCTTAGTTCAAAGTCTGGAGAGCGTGGAGCAACGTTGCCAGATGTTGAGGATGGCTTGAAATTTTCATACACATTAACTTTGCATTTTAAAGTGTCTTCGAATGTTCTCCTTCTGTAGCACATCATTATCAACTCTGCATATTATAGCGTTTAATGTGTTTTTATCTTAAAATAACCTAAGAGTTTAAAAACACTCCCTACAGAACAACGCCTCCTCTGGTGTGGAGGTCAGGACGAGCCACCTCCACTGAACCGTCCTCAACAGCAGTCAGACTGACTGTTGTTATAGTTATTTACATTTGAGATGTTTTAATGTGCAATACACCAGACTAACATTGTTCTGTTCTTTAGTTCATTTGTTTTTGTTATAAGGTTTGAAAAAATAAAATCCGTCAGACTAAACTGTCTTCTACAGTTTAGTTTCTCCAATTAAGAGGTGTGAACATAGTCCTGTTGCAATAAATGAATAAATCAATTGATCACATGATAAATGAAAATTATCAACCTCATTTTCATTTATCAGCTGTATTGTTTCTTCATGTCTCTCTCTTTCTACTGAAGACACTGGATGACAACAGGCTCAACTCCGGTGCTCTTCACTGACCCCTCCCTTTCTCTTTTATCTTTAAAATCCATTTTTACCGTCCAAAATTGCATTTTTGGATCATTAAAAGCAGCTGAACTACAATCTAAGCTAACAGGCTGACCTCAGGTGATAACACCTCCGTCTTGTCAAAGCTCCAAAATTCACGGTTGAAACCCGTGCCTTCGTCTAAAATGTTGTTAAAGAAGCTGAGAACTTGTTTACTGATTTTTTTTTATTAAAAGCTTTGTGTGACAAATGTTATACTAAAGAGCTCAAACCACACAGAGCGTCAGCCATTCTGAGAACTGAAAAAAACAGGAAAGAGCAACAGCCCATGTCACGTCAAGGGGCCTCCCTCCCATTTATCTTAAAGAGACACGCTGCTCTCTCCATCACTATCCATCCTTTGGTTCAAACAGTCTTATACTGTCATCCAGTTGTCAAAAAAAGGTACTAGACACAAACAAATTAACAAACATTTCTTCTTAAAGTTGACAATAATTACTAATTATTGTCAAATTTCAAACAATATTATCGTTTATCACAAACATTTCTGAGACAATTAATCGCCCATCAAAATTTATTATCGTGACAGCCTATGTGAACATTTGGGTTTTGGGGTTGTCTTTGGGATGGACCTGTCTTGTCTAAGTCCTGTTGGGTCCTCAGACAGAGGCAGGGTTCATCACTTACAGTAATAATCTTAATTCGGCTGTCACTCAAAACTAGTTGTAAAATATCAAAATTTCAGTTTTTATTTTATTGTAACGTGGTGTTGGTGGACTGTGACGTGTCTCACATTCTGCACAAATGAAACGGCGTGATAAAACACAAAAACCTCTTCGGTTGCTTCTTTTTGTGACTTCTTGCTGAATTGAAAGAATGTTTATTTATATTTGTTTCAGAGCTGCAGTCAGGGACATATAAAGTGTTTTTTTTTTTTTTTAATTATTATTATTATTAAAGTTTATTTGATAGTGACTGATACACATTAACGTAGACTAACTGAATAAAACAGCAGTTCAATGCCTGTATCGTGGTGCCTATAGCGTGAGCTAATTTGCAGCACTTTTATACACAGGATATCTAAAATACTATTAAGAAGTGGAATGGCAATAAAAGAGTAAAAGAATTAAAAAATAATATTAACGACATAAACAGAGTCATACATATCAAACAAATGGATTAAAACAATAAAATACATTAAACATGAGTGCAATGCTGTTTTTGACACAGCCAGAGTTTAGTTTTTTTTTTATTATTTAACATATTAAGTCTGGTTACAGACTTTAAATTGGCAGAGTGAGTTCCAAACTGCAGGTCCTCTCACAGAGAGAGCACTTGGAGCAAAAGTGGTTCTTTGAAAAGGAACCTTGCAGTCGCCATTTACCGCTGCTCTTGTAGATCTGCTGTAGCCCTGCAGTTTCTGTATACAATTGCTTAATAGTTGTGTGCAAGTCCATTTAAGCATCTGAAGATCAATTTTAAAAAATTGCAATTTATAGAATTGGAAAATTCTAAAATACCGAACTTAGCTAAAATATTACAGTGCTGAAACCGGATTGGTTTTTGGTATAGAACCTTCAACGCCCGATTGTAGAGACTTTCCAATGGTTTAAGTGCAGTTTGGTGAGTCTGTGACCAGACAGTAGCTCCACAAGACAAATGTGAGAGAATCATTGAGTTGAAGAACATCTCTGCACAGTGAAGTGTCAAACATTTTCTAATAATTTTTAAAACGATTTATGTTTGATCTAACAGTTTTGCAGATTTTATCAACATGGTTCTTAAAGTTTAATTGAGCATCCAGAATTATTCCTAAATATTTTTCCTGTGATACTTGTTCAATAGAATCTTTGTTGATTTGAATATGCAAGGACTGTGATGAAGCTTTCTTTACTGGAAAGCAAATACACTTTTTTTTGTGTTAAGAGTTAAGCAGGAGTCATTTAGCCACGCTGATATTTTCTGTAAGCTGTTGTTCAGTTTTTCACTGACTACGACACTGCTTTTACCTGATGCGTGAATGATAGTGTCATCAGCATACATTTGCAAATTAACTTCAGGACAAATTTTAGGAAGATTATTAATACACAGGCTGAAAAAGATGGGGCCTAAGATGGTTCCTTGAGGAATCCCCGTTTTGATTTTCGAGAAAAGAAGATTTATTATTGTTGATGACCACACGTTGTTCACGATCTTAAATATGACTGAACCCAAGAGAGTGATCGTTCTGAACAATGAAATGATGAAAGCTTTGACATTAGTAAATTATGGTTCACAGTATCAAAGGCCTTTTTTAGGTCGAGGAAGACTGCGCCAACAGTTGGTCCTTTGTCAAGTGATTGCTTAACCTGTTCTAGCAATAAATAAATGGTGGTCTCTGTCGAATGACTGTGTCTGAAGCCAAATTGGAGAGGAAGTAAAAGATTTTTATGTTTTAAATATGTTATCAACTGTTCTGAGATAACCTTCTCCAACACCTTTGCCATGACCAGAAGGAGGCTTATTGGCCTGTAGCTGCTGGTTTCATGAGGGCTCCCTGATTTCAGAAATAATTTCACTGGTGCTTTGTTTCAGTGCATCAGGAAATTGTCCTGTTCTGATGGAAGTATTAATTACACAAGTTAGAGGCTCTACTAGGATATTACTGTATTTTATTTTTGAAACGCAGCATCTAGGTTATACATGTTCTTAGCAGAGGACATGTTCATGCTATTAATAGCTCTTTGAACAGTAGATGAATCGACCTCTAATCTCAAACAAATCAGAAGCATTTTAGTTGGTTTCCTATAAAGGATATTTGTTTGGACTTGTTGAAACTGTGATGCTAAATCTTTAACCCATGAATGGAAAAAATAATTGAAAACTGAGTAGGATCAGTTAAAGGTTTTCCTTCTATTATGAGTTTAATCATTTTTATCCCAGTTCATGTTGTATTTTGTAATATTTAGTGTGGAACGTTATTTATTTTGCTGATGGTGCTGTTGTTCTCTGCATCTGAGAGATTTCTGTACTTTTATTTTCAGTAGGTAAAGGTGGACGAGCAAATCCCTTCAAGGTAAGGACCTCCTGTCATTTTTTAACACCAGATTAGATGTTTTGAAACAATCTGATCGTTCACGTTCATCACTTCCCTGCAGTAAAACAACCACTGAAGCTTCAATTCATATATTTTATGTAACATTTTTATTAGTCGAACAACAAATTAAAGATGATTTTACATCAGTGCCGACCATAAAGCTTCCTGTTGTAGCTGACTGTATAAAATGAAAACTACTGATTCATATTATCCAAAGTGTAAAACTATCTGTTTTTTGATATTTTAGCAAAGATAATGAAGTCATTTTATGTCAGCAGGGGGCGATGTTGAAGCATTTAACACAATACAAGTTCCTAATCAGAATACTTTTGTCATTATATAGAATTGAATATAGTTCAATATACAGATTTATATTTATTCATCCATCACTTTTAAGACAAAACAACAGTAGTCGTGCTGCGATGTGTGGCACCACTTCCTGCTTTTAGCTGTTTTATGTGAACGACCTGCTCCGTTGTTTGTAACTGAGGTGAACGACGTTCAGATCTGCTTGTGTTCGACTCCTGGGTGTCTGAGCTTCTTCCTCACGTTTGGTCCGTTCAGGTTTCTGCTTCTGGAAAACTCACGTCTCCATCCGGTCAGCCTCGAGTGACGAACATCCTGGACAACATGACGTCCAGCAGGAAGTCTGCTCCAACCAGTGGGCCTGCGGGGAAACCAAATAAAAACCCCGTCCTCAAACCACTGCCCCCCAGGTCCAAAACCAAGGTAACAACGGAGGATTGAAGTAGTTTGCCTGATCCGGTCTTTACGTTGAACATTCATCATAACTTTGATTTTTATTGTCTCTGAGCTGCTGCATGCACGGAGAGCTTTAGTTTTTAACCTTTTTTTTTAAAATATTATTCATGTCCTAGTTAAATAAAGATGGAAAAGACAAAAAAATGTGACATTTTGTTACTGTGAACTCATGCAGGCTCATCACAATAAAAGTGATTATATCAGCACAGTTGTTATTTACCAGTCTGAAAACAGCCAGTGAAGGTACATACCATTACTTCCTGCCCAGTTGGACAAGTTCAATAAAAAATAATCATTTCAAGCAGTCACATTACATAAATACTATTACAGAATGCAATACACGACTGTCATATGCAGTTTATATGAAAATTGTCAAACATTTTCCCCCAGATGTATAATATTATTATTATTATTATTATGTTATTATTATTATTATTATTATTAATACTTTATGGACTCACTGGCATTTGAGCCTCTATAGAAAAGCTTTTTAACTCTGTGTTCTTGTTGATTTTATGTTTTCATATGGATCTTGTATTGTGTCTGAAATAAAGTAAATGAATGAATGAAATAATAATAATAATAATAATAAAATCTCAGCGACTCAGAGTTTTTGATTAAAAACTCTTGAATCTATTCATGTTTGGGTTGTGGAGGCACCTGCGACACTCTCCAGCTCCTCCTGGGACAATCCAAGGAGAAGATGTAAAACCCAACCAGTGGTTTCTGGGTTTTCCCTGGAGTCTCCTCCCAGTGGAGCATGCTCAAAAAACTTCCAAAGAGAAGCATCTAGGATGTATCCTAACAGATGCCCGAACCACCTCAACTGACTCCTTTCGATGAGGAGGAGCAGCGACTCTACTCCGAGGTCCCTCCAGATGATGGAGCTCCTTCACCCTCTCCATAAGGCTGAGCCCGGCCACCCTGTGAAGGAAGCCAAGATCTTGTTCTTTCAGTCATGATTCAAACTTCTTGACCATAAATGGAGGCTGGAACGCAGACAGACCAGTAAATCACGAGCTTTGCCTTTTGACTCGGCTCTTTCTTCACCACGACAGACCAAAGCAACACCTTCATTACCGAGGACGAGGCTTGAATTCATCGATCCATCTTTTGCTCCATCTTACCGTCACTCGTAAACAAGACTCCCACTTAACTGAACTTGAGACTTTGTCCTGACCTGGAGGGAACATTCCACTTTTCCCGGTGGAGAACCATGGCTGTAGATCGTCCCAGCGCACGCTGAAGGTCATGGCCGGAAGACGCCACTAGAACCACATCATCAGCATAAAGCAGAGATGAGACCCTGAGGACCCTCCTCTCTACGACGTGCTAAATGTTGGAGAAAAATATTCTCGCTTTATCTCATTTACTCAAAAAGGAGCCACACTCGACCACAGGAGAAGGTTTCTCATATTTTCAGGACCGGTTACACAGATATACAGGAAGTACACACATGAAGACCAGTCACAAGAATCTGCCGTGTGTGCAGCTTGTTTATATACTGTTATCAGTTCAGCTGAGTTCAGACTCAGAGGCGTCCTTGGAGTGACAGCTGCACCCAGCTCCTCGTCCAGCTCCCTCTGCTGACCCAAACATATGGTTCATGGGCAGAGTTAACATTCTCAGCCATAGTTAAAAACATCCATAACCTTTGACCAAAACCCCCTAACACGAACAAACACCACGAACAACATCAGAGATGAGGAACAGCCCTGGTGGAGTCCAACCCACACAGAGAATGTGCACGTTTAAAAACATGCATTTATTTACTTAACATTTTGTTTTAATAAATCTTGAGACTGAGGTGAATTACTTTGATTAAAGTTATTAAAAGTTGTCTCCTACTGTTGAGAAATGCAGGTGAATCAATTATGATCAAATAATTTCATGACCAGTCTAATAAACTTTATTATAATTACCCATTTTGTACTTTAAACAATCTTACTGTATTGTTTTGTGTATTGATGTCCCTTATGTTTATATTTGCTTTATTATTTGAGCTGCTTATGATGTTTGTGTTGATTAGATGCATTTTTGACGTTTTCGGACTCGGCTACAAGGTTTATTTCTTTTATTTCTTTTAGTTTGTAAAGCTTTAGTGTTGACTAGAACGACCCAAACCATACTATTTCAGTGAACTGTTCAGCACTGCTATGTTTTCTGGGATATTTTCAGTGTAAAATGTTTAACTTGGGACTTTCCACTCGTCTCTGCAGACTCAGTCCACTCTGCTGCAGATGACCGGCGCCACAGCGGCTCAGAAGAAGACCCAGGAGAACCATGAACCCACTGCAGAGCAGCAGAAACCAGCAGATGTTCCACCTCCAACCTCCCCTGCAGAGGAAACGGAAACCAAGAGGTAAAATATTTACAAAGATTAAAGTTGTCCATCATATGGACACAAGTTCCTGTCGTATATTTTGTGTTTGTAAATCAGACTGTAGTTGTGATTTGAGTTTTGTAACCATGTAAAATAAAATGTCAAAGTTCTGCTTTGAACAGCTGTACATAGGATTGTGAGTGTAAAAAAAAACTTGTATTTGTAAAAACAAAATTAAAGGGATGTGGTGGTACAGAGGTCGAGAGGGCGAGCCTGTGATCAGAAGGTTGCCGGTTCAACTCCCTGGACCGACGACATCAAAATGTGGGTGGGAAAGATGAAGCACCCAAACCTGCCTCCATCCTCATTTGCACTACTCTGGGCCCTTGAGCAAGGCCCTTAACCCCCATCATCTGCTCCCCCGGTGCTCTAGAAAGGAGCTCTCTGCTCCACACAGAGGGCTGTGGTAGCTCGGTGTCTGTGGTTGAGTCATGAAGGACATCCATCGTAAAAACAATCGCCAAGTCTTCATGTGTTAGTTTGCTGTGGCGACCCCTGAAGAAGGGAGCAGCTGAAAGAAGAAAAAAAGGAAATCTGTAAAAATTAACTACACAAGTTACAAAGTTTTTGTTTGTTAAGGTCTGTTTACAAAAGCAAAAAACTATGTAAACATCTGCGCTCAAGTTCTCTAAATCATATGTGAATTTCCAACTCTGACGGGATGTTTCTTCCTCTCAGCTGATTGGTCAGTGTCATGTCAATCACATACTGAACAATCCAATCAGAGAGCAGAATGTTCGGCTGTCGGGGCGGAGCTTTACTGAGCTGCAGGTCCTGGAAGGACAAAACATTCCACTAAACCATAAAGTAATGCCTACCTGAGCCACAGATGCACTGGTGCCGTCCTCCATCTTGTGAGTGAGTGTGTGCATGAGTGTGGGTGCGCACGTGCACAGGTGCAGTCTCTGTGAGACTGGCTGTGTCCACCGCTTTATTTCGTCTAATTAAAACTAACACTAAAGGACAAATATTTATATGCTCCAGATTTTATATTTACATATATAATTTATTTTTTAAATTTAAATCTTTATTTTACCAGGAAAGAAATCCAATGAGATTATTAATCTTCTTACAAGGATGTCCTGGGGATGTGCAAGATGCAAACAAGCAACAGTCTTAATAACAGTAATATTACAATATTTACAACAAAATATCCAGTAATAAGACATAAAATACAATGCAAGTTTAAAAAACATCACAATTTAAGACACTTAACGTTACAGGTGCAAGATGTGACTAAAACCTCTGTCAGTTTTTGTTTAAAACCAGTTAAAGGAATAAAAGACTCCGACCTCAACTTAAGCTGCATAATTCCAAGACCAAGGGCCCAAATAAGACAAACTCATCTTTGCTGATTCTGTGCACACAAAGTGTACTTTAAACCACAGCCAGCCCTGAGACTGTGTGTTCTGCAGTGAAATGAACTTGGAGTTGATATATTATGGTCATTTTCCTTAAATGGATTTGTATATGTAAATATACCAACGCTTCATCCTTCAAATATTGAGTGAAGTCCAGCAAGGGTATATAAAGTATGATGGTAAGTCCTAGAGGGTGAACCTGTCAGAGCAACATGGTAAATGGGCTCCAGTTTAGCTAAGGTAGTGGGGGGTCGGGGGTCAAATCTATAAATTGTGCCCTGAGATGACTTCTGTTGTGACTTGGCTATAATATCAATAAACTGAATTGCGTCTCCATAGTCCAGCTGTGAAAAAAAAACTAACTTGCTAGCATGCAGGACTAGTTTTGAATCACGAAGAGCATTCTGTAAGTAAGGGTGTTGAAATCAGTCTGAAGATTCGAGTGTGCGGCATGTAGAGAGTGCGCTGACGTATAGAACTGTATCATCAGCGTACACGGTAAGAGGAGAATTTAAGATGATCATAGATCAGATGCAAAGACTTGTCTTCATTTAGTTTTATTTTTCCCTTGAAACTCACAAAGTTCTTGCTGTGAGAGTCAGTTTCAGGGGCCTCATGTATCAAGGTTCTTTAATGTCATTCACATCACATGTGGTACATGAGGTGGAACGAAACTGTACACATGGTTCCAGTTACATCCAACAATAGCCAAAAATATAAAGTACAAAAAGTATAAAAAGAAACCGTATATAAGGATCTAAGATACGCTAACCAACAATAATGTAAAATAATATGGTGTATTAAACAGCAGCCTGAACATGAGTCTGTTGTGAGTAGATGGGTATGAATACAGCAGCTTAAAGGCAAGAAATCAGCAGCATGGATGATCAGCAGGACAGGTTGCATAAAACATGGAAAGGTCGCGTGCACCAAATTCCACACACATCAGGAGGATGTATCAATATAAATGTTGTGAGGGTGTGCGTACAGATACACACATGTCTGACCTGCTGTGAGAATGTGCTTACCTCCACACAAACGTTTTCAGTCTGCAGTATCAGAGTACAAATACTGAAACATAACAAAAATACACTGAAATAAGACTGAGTTTGGTTTTCTGAACTTGTTGTGTTATTGAAACACAATGTTCTGTCAAGCGTTTGGGTTTTTATGAGTTAAATCCGTTCAATGAAACTGAACTACATTTAGTCTCAAAGAACAGAACATCTAACACGCCTCAAAAATGATCAAAACAACCGCACTTCAGCATAAACTGTAAAGTTTCTTAAGTTTATGTCACAGGTAGATGTAAACACACGCCTGCGAGGTGCGTAAAATGTGTGTGAACTGTGTAAGTAGCATCACAAAAAGTTGAATCATGTCATCAAGTCGGTTTCTTTTTGGAAGAACCGTTTCGTCTTTCATCTGAAAGATTTTATCAGTCTGCGGCCTGCCAACAGGATCTGTCATCATTCAATTCAGTTCAATTCAATTCAGTTTATTTATATAGCGCCAAATCACAACAAAGTTGTCTCAGGGCACTTTACAGAAACATTCACATCCATCCATCCATCATCTTTACCCGCATCTTCCTTTTTGGGTCACAGGGGTCACTGGTGCCTATATCCAGCCATCGTTGTGTGAGAGGCGGGGGACACCCTGGACAGGTCTCCAGTCCATCACAGGGTCACATAGAGACAAACAACCATTCACTCTCTCACTCACATTTAGGGACAATTTAGAGTTACCAATCAGTCTAACATGCATGTTTTTGGTCTGTGGGAGGAAACCAGAGTACCCGGAGAAAACCCACGCATGCACGGAGAGAACATGCAAACTACAACCAGACAGGCCCTGGACCAGGATTTCAACTGACAGCCTTCTCGCTGAGAGGCAGCAGCTCTACCAGTTGCTCCACCATGCTGCCGATTCACATACATAGAAAAGCCAATTAGTAAATGTTTACTATCTAAGGAATCCAGCAGACTTGTTGAATCTTCACTTTGTTGCAGTCTCTCATCCTCAGCAAGCACAAAGGAGATAGTGGAAAGGAAAAACTCCCTTTTAACAGGAAGAAACCTCCAACAGAACCAGGCTCAGGACAAGCAGTCATCTGCTTTTACCGGCTGGTTGAGAGGACAGGAAGGAGAGACAGACGTACATAGAATGGTAGGTCCAGGTATAGGTCCAGGTGTACCTGAAAGACAAAAAAAAAAACACATGTTAAGGATAGAAGAAAATTACAAATATATAACAGGTTGAGCAGAGTAAGTAAAGACAGTAGCAGAGTGAAGAAGTGTGGTCAGTTTGTCCTCCAGCAGTCTAAGCCTATAGCAGCATAACTAAGGGACAGCTCAGGAAACCCAAGCCGACACTAACTATACGATTTATCAAAAAGACTTAAGCCTAGTTTTAAAACTGGACAATGTGTCAGCCTCACAGACAGAAACTGGAAGTTGGTTCCACAAGAGAGGAGCCTGAGAACTGAAAGATCTGCCTCCCATTCTGCTTTTGGAAGCTCTAGGAACCACAAGTAAACCTACAGTCTGAGAGCGAAGTGCTCTGTTAGAAAAATATGGAACAATAAGATCTGTAATATAAGATGGAGCTAGGTTGTTGAGAATTTTTCTAGATTAGAAAATTTTGAATTCTATTCTGGATTTGACAGGGAGCCGAAGGAGAGAAGCTAAAACTGGAGAAATATGATCTCTCCTACTAACTCCAGTTAAGACTCTGGCAGCAGCATTTTGGATCAAGTGAAGACATTTTAAAGAAGTATTTGGACATTCAGATAATAAACCATTGCAATAGTCCAGTCTAGACGTGACAAATGCATGGACCAGTTTTTCTGCATCTTTTTTATAGCACCTGATTGACGTGTTTCAAACCAGTCTGCTGTGGAATTCCCAGAAACTGGCTTTACACATGCACAATGGGACCATATGTCCAAAACAATCAATCATTAGTGCATAACATGACAAAAACCCGTTTTGGATCAGCACAACACCACCAAACTCAGGAATGGTTTAAAAGGTTTATTTTTAGTGCAGCTTTTTGTGGAGGTCAGGGTCCAGGTGGAGGTCCGGTCTGTAGAGAGAGACAGGTTAGTGACTATGAAGAGGGTGAGGAGTTTTGAAACTTGCTGTGAATAAGTCACTAACCTTCTCAGTCTGTGGTTGGGCAAGAGCTGAAGAAGTGCTGAACCTGGTGACGTCACTTGTGCAGTGAGAGCTGCAGCAGGAGAACAGACCGTGGTGCTGAGCATGGTCCGTGGAGAGCAGATCCAGAGACAGGGTCCAGTAAATGTTGTAGGGGTCATACACAGAAGATCAGAGAGCCGATACCAGAACCAAGACGTGATCCAAAGGCGTAGTCGAAGGAGGAGAAAGATAAGGTCGGTACCGTGGTCAGATGTAGCAGACAAATCCAGAAAGGCCAAGGTGAGGAATCGAGAAACAAGGCTGAGGTTTGTGGTCAGGAGTCGGAACAAGGTACGCTGGATTTCTACTGGCAAAAAGCTTTCAGTAATCTGGCACTGAGTGAGAGTGGAGCTGGGCTTGAGAGGGGTGCAGAGCAGGTGAACATGATGAGAGCTGATTGCTGTGACAGGACAGAGTAGGCGTGGTGCAGGGAGACGGGCAACACTGAACTGAACATGGAGATAGACAACGAGGGGAGCATGGAAAACTAAACAAACGAGCTGTGGAAGGAATGGGCAAAAACGTGACACGACTATCAAATGTTATGGGCAAACGGGCACTTCATTCTCCCTGAGAAGACAACGGTGTTGGATCCGCAAAATAATTAACGTCTCACCCACGATGTTTCCTCAGATTAACAAGGTGCAGACCATCACATATCTGTTCACAAAGAGCTACGTATAATATATGTGAAAACACTGACGTGACATAAACTAACTCTAAAATGTTGTTCAGAATCACCGTCTTTCATCAGAATGCCGTTGGTCTTGAGGACGTAAACGGTGCAGGTTCTTCTTGTGACTTGAACAATTCATTAGTGAACATTTTTTTGTATTTTGTCTACAGTACACACTTTACATGAAAACCTTTTGTAAGTTACCATTCATTCATTCATTCATTCATTCATTTATTCATTCATCCTTTATTTATACAGGTTAGCCTCAATGAGTCACGAGGACTCATCTACAAGAGAGACCTGTAATCCAACTGTAGTACCAGTATGTAGAAATGTACTCTGGGGGTGGTTGGGAGGGATTGCTGCTCTACACCCTAATCTGTAGGTGTAGAAAAATAAATTCAGTCAAAAGATTTTTATTTTCTTTAATCCCTGATTTAATGTTTCTGTTCAGTGCCCTGTGATGACTTCTGTTGTGACTTGGTGCTATATAAATAAACTGAACTGAGTTGATTTAACTGAGGAGAAATGGTTTGGATTATTAAAACTTCTCAGATTACAAAGAAAAACATTTAACTCTTTTAATTGTGTAACTTCAGGCCAAAGACGGGCTTCCAGCTGTGGCTAGAGGAGAACAGGAAGAATATTATTGCTGATAATCCAGACCTGGATGAGACGGACATCATTAAGGAGGCGATGGCACGGTTCAGGACACTGTCAGCGGAGCAGAGACTGGTAAGAAACTCTGACAGGTTCAATCTTTACTAAACTGAAATGTTAGACATTTTGTAAGAGAACACTGAAAATATGTTTTTAGCCTTTGATCATTGACCCTGTGATACCAGTATCAAAAGTCAAAGCTATAATAGCTTTATATAGACATCTGATGGAATAAGTGTT